AATTTGATCGAAGTGAGCAAAGGTGAAGTCAGGGCGGGGAGTTGGATTTCATTTGAAGGTGGAGGTTAATATTTGAATATATGTGAAAATAGTTACTTCGATTCTATTTTTCTTAGAGATTACTGATTTATGGATTTGAGTCTTTTTTTTCTTTTATTTTCAATACAAACAACCTACAAACGTACTTATGTTGAATTTTGATGTAATTAAAGTGTTTGATAATTTGCCTAAAGTAACTAAGCAAATTTCTCTCTCTCTTTTTTTTTTTAAACACAAGAGCTTAACATTCATCATTTCAGGAGGAGGTGTATTTATTACTACCGAAAAATAATAGTAAGTAATATGTTGTTATGTCGGAAAATTGCTTTTGAAGAACTTTCATTTTGTTTCACATTATTTTAATTTTCAATATGCATGTAGTTAAAAATTAAAATATTGTTGTCAAATAGAGTACTTTCACTTCGATGGTGCCTTTTTGTTTTAGAAGCTCTGTATATCAAACATTAAATGTTCGGGTACCTTTAATTCATCCAAGTGATGATGAATATCTCATCGGTGAAAATGAGTAATGTTTCACTCTTTCAAGCCTATAAATTTAAAGACATAAGCATTAAAACATGCAAATAAATAACAAATAATCTGCGGGAGGGCTAGCTTCCTCATCCCCGCTTTCAGTTCAATAGTATTATTATGTAGTCCTGCGTTGTCTTATTTTTAATGTATTAGTTACTTGCTTGCTTCATCTCTTTCTCATTAACAAATAGTCTTCTTGTGAGTCAAGGGTCTAATGGAAATCACAACTAAACCATCATAAAGATAGGGATAATGTCTGCATACATCTTGCCCTCTCCATAGTCCACTTGCGAAATTACAATAGATATATCTTGCCCTCTCCATAGTCCACTTGCGAAATTACAATAGATATGTTGTATTTATCACATTTCTTCATGTGTAGACTACTGTCGAATATATAATGCAGCAATAAATCGCCTTTGAACCCATCATATAGCAGACTCCAAAACTCTAACATGACTTTCTTTCAAAGTGTCATAAAGGAAGGGAAAACAAGAAAAGACAACAGAGAATGGGACGAAGACAAGTCAATTATCCTTGCAGAAGTTCCAAATAAAAAGCAGGATACTCCCGACAATTGGAAAACATGAAGTAGGACAAAGAAGAAAATAAGAAATATATACATATAAGTCGACAATTGGAAAAGTGTTATCGCATCATCATCACATCTACTCGAGGTTTGGAATAGAGAATCAAGCTAAATTACTGAGGAATCATCATATTTTGGCTTGTATTTTCAGTATGAGATTGCATGCTAATTTATGTTCCTCAGCTATGCAATTATTTTGTTGTTTTCAACTTTTATCGAATAAGTATTCATATAGTGGGAGACATTTTATAAATATTTCTTTTCACATGATCCATGTAAAATTCTTAATATTTTCTTAAACCTCTTTGTTGCATCTAACATTTGTTTGTATGAATTTGTAATGAAAATAACTAGAAAAACTATTTTTTTATTAATATTATTCTATTTTTTGTTTTGGAACAAATTTTATTTATATAATGTATATTATTATTTTTCGGTTACAAGTTATTGCTAAAAGAAAACTAAGAAGTTCAGATGGATAACATAAAAAGGGGTGCTAAGTATGCATTTTTTTGTTTGAATTTGAAGCTGCATACTCATTTTTCCTAACTGTTTGAATGATTTATTAATTTTTTGTTAATTGCAGAAGCTAAAAAAGTGTATTCCTCTGACACTCCACTCGACAACTGACCTCATCGACTTTAGGTAATATTTTGCTCTCCTCTTTTTCATCATGCAATGTAATAGTTTCTTTCATGCAATAATGTCATACTTATATTTCTGATCTTGAGTGTCACAATGCCTATATTTCTGATTTTGAGTATCACAAGTAAAAACTTATGTTAATATAGTTTTGTTTAACTATTGATGACCGTGACTGATTGATAACACTTCCTAAGACTAAAGTTGAAGCGAATATGAATAATTTGATCTATGATTAGGCACTGAATGCTCAAAATTTCAAAAATGAAGAGTGAAGTTCTTTATGGAGTGTACGTCCATAAACATTTTTACTGCAGTACAGTGGACATCCATACTACTTTCTATTAATCAAGCATGTCCCTCGCAAATTGAAGATAATTTTGGTTGTCAGGATAAACGATGATTGGATATTTCAATGTTGGTTAAAAATATAGAAGAGTTTCATTACGGTAAGAAGATATATATCTTACTATTTTCAGGTAGGTTTGCAAATCTATTCATATCTTGCTTATGGGGAAACTTTATAGAAAAATGAGAAATTTATTCATTCTTATTTCACGTGTCCATCTTCTGAAGATGGACAATCACCTTTAATATAATAGGGAGTCAACTGCTCAAATATTATACTTTGTATTCTTGGAGGATTCAATTTTTTTTTTTACTTTTTATGTTTTTTTGGTAATGCAAAGATGGATTGATGAGTTCCATTTGAAATGATTTTTTTCTTATCGTTCATTAATAAATTTCAGTTAAACAAATGTATGCTCTAAATAAAATTATCCTGCACTTTCGCACTTCCACTTCCTTGTCTGAGGTCACTTATTCTCTCCAAGAGCACTGAAAACACATTCCTAATTTGGGATGATTGAGTAATATCCATAAAGAAGTGTCTTCAAGAGGAATAATTAAATCTTACACGCTTTCTCTTAATAACATAGTCGAGTCATTAGATCTTCAACATCTCTCCGTCATAGCTTAGTTGATTTATAACTCTCCTTTACAATTTCTGAAACTTATCTCTCATATGAAAGCTTCTAGCATACTGTGATCATGAAAGCTTTTAGCATTCTGTGATCATGAAAGCTTTGAGTAGTTTATTGTAGAATTTTGCATTTTTATGCTCTTAATTTCTTCTTAGTATACTTTTTACGCACATTCCTATCCGCTTATCTGTTAGACCAATTATATGTCAGCTAGAGTTTTCTAGCAATTAACTTTATTGAACATGAATGTCTTCATTATAATTATTTCTCAACACATTTCTATGTCATTCAACTAAATTTTTTTATTGTTTGTTCATCTCCGAGCATTCACTAATTTAAAATATAAAATGTTGGGCCAGTGTGAAATATATATATATATATATATATATATATATATATATATATTAAATGATTAGTTTTAATTTCATATCCAATTATGAATAAGAATGAGGATTACCAGCAGCGTACCCAAGATACTTTTAAGAAATATCACTTTTTAAAATGAAAACAATAAATAAAATAATGTATATCATGTTTTTTTTAAAAAAAATATAAACAAAACACAATCCATGTATATTATTATATTTTTTCTAAAAACACATTATAATTTTTTCTATCAATTGTTTTTGATAAAATGTATTGAAATAATCTCCATAACAAACGAAAATTTTTATGCTGTTTGAGTTACAAGTATGACATGGCATGCAAAAGTTGTATGAGTCTTTTCATAATTTGACAACTGGATAAATGAGTCCTATTTTCAGAAAAATGGGTCAAAGTTCCTTCTCTCTTTTACTTTTTAAATTTTTCCCATTATTTTAACATTTTCACTTCTTGTTTTGTTTTAACTATTATTTCAAATTTTGCTATTTTCCTTATCTTTGAATAATTTTAAAACTATAAAATCTAGCCTAATTGATCATATACTCCTAACATTTGGTATTATATTTCTATCCTATATTAGTTATCTATATTACTAAGTATAATTATTAAAAAATTATTTATCGATTAACAAATTAAACTATCGTTTTTATTTTCTTTACCCTAGCAATTATTCTTTTTGAGAGTAATTTGTAAAGTTGTAAAAATATAAATCTCTTAAAAATTAATTTAGTAAATTATCATTTTTATTAATAATTTTTAAAGAACGTTTAAAAAAGGTAAAATAACTAATAAAAAAGAAGTATAAAATCAACTTTCTTTTCCCCTCAATATTTTCTAATTTCGTAAACACATAAATTTATTCAATATTCTCCAATAAGAAAATATAAAAGAAAGATCATCCATAATCTTCACAAATAATTACTTAAGTTTTGTTTCTATTTTCATGTAACCCGAAATTGAAAATCATCCATAAACTCCTAATACATACATACTCTCTCAATTTACATACATACTCTCTCAATTTATATGATATATGTCAATTCTTGAAATTCAAGCTATGTGAAATTTAATTGATATTTTAAAAATATTTTTTTATGTTAAGATTATAAGAACTGCAACTTATAGTGTTTGTTCAAAAATATAACCTTCTCATTAAGTTGCAATTCAGCTTAAAATATTATTAGTTGCAATTTTTATCATGTAAATATAATAAAAAAAATATTTTATAGCTTGAATTCAAGAACAAAAAATAATAAACTATATAATAGAGAGAGTAAAACGAAAAAAATAATTAATTATTTATTTACAAGTAATTTTAAACAACTTTTTATTTTTGTCATAAAAAATTCAATTGATTTTTATGTGGTTAAGAGCACAAATCTTAATTTACTTTTTTTTAATTAAATACTTAATTATTTGACTTTAAATCTAAATTAATATTAATATATTTATCTTTATTTGTTTTTTAATAAATGAATATTATGAATTATCAAAATAATAAAGAAAATAAATTACTAATTTTAGGACATTACTATTTTTATATTAAAGATTGGAGAAATAATGCACAAAAAAAGATATTAAATTAATAATTTTAGGTTATTATTATTTTTATCATATAAGAAATTTACTTAAAATTTAAAATTTACAATGTACTCTCTATATATAGAGGGGTTAAATAGAAGGTAGGGTAGAGGAGTGAAAAGAAAAATGAAAAAGTTATAAGGTGTGGACCTATAAAATGAATTTAATTTATTAAAATAATTCCTTATACAACTATGACACGATGTACTTCAAACACCATAAAATTTTTCATAACAATATAATACTATTTGTTTATACAAAGAAAACACCAAATGATTACGAAACAAAGTAGGTCAAAGAAGAAAAAACATAAAAAAATAAATATTAATTTTTTTCTACTATATTAGAAATGACTTGTTCTAACATTTGAGGGTGATTTTGTCTTTTTATTCTCACATATAGCTACGTGTCTTCTTCACACGTATCTTCAATGTACACCTCACTGTTTACTTTTTTCTCCAAAAACTTCTCCTCTCTCCAACATTCGTTCTAGCTTTTCAGGTAATCTTCTACATATTGTTTCTTTGTTTTCTTCAAAATTGAAAGTACATTAAAAATGTTCTCCAATTTTATCTTTCGTTGACCACTTCTTATTCCATGTGAATTTGTTGTTGATGTTCAATTTTCCAGCTACTTTTCAATAGTTTTAATCATTATGCCTTTAGTTTTTGTTTTGTTCTTGTGTTTTCATCAGAAATCAACTTTGGGGTACTCAGATTTTTGTTTTATTTTCTCACATGTAGTAACTAATTTGGTCTTTGTTCATAATAATTCTTTTGAACTAAATGGATTTTTTGTTAGAATTAATTTTCTAGATTCCTTCAGTTCAATTGGTCTTCTTTTCTCATAATTCTTTTAAACTATCTTTCATATATGGGTTTACTATTGAAATTAACTTTCTGATTTCTTCATTTTAGTCTTTTACCGTTGTATTTTCTTCACTTACTTTATTTTGAAATTATTTTCACTTGTAGTTTGACATTAAGGATCTGCAGCTACTTATACCAGAATTTGAGTGAAGGGTATGTCTGTTAATGCTTTTGTACTGCCTTTATTTAAATTATTGTGTACATTAGATTCCTCTATGATTTCGTAAAACTGTGAAATACCCCTTTTTTAAGGGCGAACTAATTTGTTGTTCTTATGTTTTGAGTTTTTTAAAACTTAACTATCCTTTATGGCTGACCCTAATTATTTTTCAATATCCATTGATTAATTTTGTGGTAAAGTTTTATGCTTTCAGAGTCAAAACTGACTTTTCAGCTTGTTTGTGCCCAAGGGGTCTTCTTTTGTACTACTGGCACCATGGTAATTGGTTTGAAGTATATGCGGTTGATTTTTTGTATGTATGTGTCTTCTGTTTTAATTGTTAACAATTTGATTGTATCTTTTCATGAGCTGAGATGTCTTGTTTAGTTGATAAATTTGCCCTCGACCTTCAATTATATATGTTTGTATGATCATATTCATTCATTGTATTCTTTTGAATTTTTGATAATAGTATCTTCACTTTTCTTTATTCTTATCCTGAGGTATAAAATTAGTGATTAATCCTTGTCAAAATCTTTCTTTGTTCATGTACCATATCTTAAAACTGTGATATTTGATGTTTTCTTTGTGAAGTGAAAAATTTTCAAGCTCTCTTCTTGTCATTAATCACACCCAATAACTTGGTTAGTATTTCATATATGATTTGCTGGACAAATTGCATCCATATCAATACTTATGAACACATAATATTCTACAAAAATAACTCTAGTATTTTATGGATTAAATATACAACCTTTTTGGGCTCTGCTACTTCGTGTTTTGCCATGTGTTTCATAAATTTGACGTCTTCACAAACAAGACCATATTTTTTTTGATTATATGGAATAGTTGACTCATTGGTATGTTACATTTATATAGTATATAACTGGAATGTTTCAGTACTAATTTATGTAGTTACATGTCTAGGCTTTCGCACAAAGAAAGAGGTATGATAGTGGTTATCCTGTAAGATCCCTTATTTATGTTGTTTGTTTTCATTTGTTTAACCTCCAAATGAATCTCATTGTTGTTATAATTGCTATGATTTTATTCACCAAGGTTAAGGATCTTATTTTGATGATATTCATTATGTTTGTGAATTTAGAAATCTGTAAGGGGGGGGGGGGGGGGTAAGGTTTTATGGAATATTGACATCTTGATAGTATTCAATTAGCATGAGAAAGTTTGCAAAGATGAAAAATATGCCCAAGAAATATCCCATAGTTCAGTGACCATTTAAGATATTAACTCCACAACGAACCAATACATTTTGAATATCTTCTCATTTTCACTAATGCATATATACGTGAATGTAGAAGATCCTATCTTCTTTCTAGGTAATAGACAAAAGATGAATCTTAATCCCAAGTGTTAAAACTTTCAAGCAATATAATGATTAATCATCTATTTAATCAAAGAAAAAAAAATGAACGGAGTACAAGAAATCGGTAGGCAGAGATCATTTAAAAACAACAATAATTGTGAGCAACAATCAAGTAGAAAAAGGTCTCTACAACATTGAAGTTCTTATCTCATGAAATCAAACAAATGAAATACTAACGGGCTTAAAAAAAAACATCAACCTACCACTATCATCATTATTCTCCTTTCAGAACCCATCGTATTCCCACAAATTCTCTTCCTGGCTGCAAATTCTAACATTGAAACTTATGTTAGTGTCAAAGTCATAAGTATATAATCTCACCTAAACATTAGTATATAATCTCCTTGTGTAGCAGCTATTTGATATACACATGTACTACTAATGTGATCACTCTTTTATGTAGATGTGTATTCTCTTGTATATTAGTTTGTAGAGAACTATAGGACATACAAAGATAAAATTTTATCCTTTTTCACACCAATTGACGAATTGATTTCAAAGTTATTGATTTAATTTGACAACGAAGTATCTCACTGAGTTAGATCCATGATATGAATCCTTCCTATATAGTTTTTAGTAAATATGCTTCAAAATATGTACATGCTTAGAATCAAAGTTAATTTATATTCTTCAATTTTAGATGTCTGCATTTTACATAAAAAAATAGTGTTGCTTTTTTCCCAGACATCTCTATTCCTCTTTAATGAAATAGTTCAAATAATGAACAAAACAACTATTCTCCACATTTCTTCCTTGCAGAAATAAATAGTTCACTTTGAATCTAAATTCATTTTCCCTCTTCCTCCACAGGTACGTTGACTACACTAGAAAGCAACTAAAATGCAGCAATACGTAAATAGTGTAAATTTCAATGCAAATAATAAAAATACAGTTACAAAAAAAATGATATTCAACTATATATATAAAATCTCTATATATGTCTATGAGCATTTATCCTTCTTATATAGGCCTGTATGTGTACATCTATCTTATAAATTTTTTTAAATTACGGGCCATATCTACCTACTATTACAAACAAAGCACCAAAAAGTTACTAAACAACGAAGGTCAAATAAAAAAGAGCATACATATGAGGCTATGGAGGGTTGCACACACAACATAGCCTAGGAAATTTTAGCAAAAAACTTCTTCCATCCTAGTGTCGCTTATAATATATACTAGAAAGAGATGACTCGTATTGGGTTTTTTTTTAAAGTTTGTAACATCAAATTGAAGAAAAGTAATTTGATGAATCTAAGGTGGTGTTCGTTATGCAAAATGTTAATTTTTCTATATTTGATCAGTTAATGTGATCAACAATAATAATTGAGGAACACATATTAATTTATTTGATAGTATATACCAAGGGAGCCTAGTTTACAAAAGAGATAAATATAAAAAATACGCCTAAACTATTCATTTTTTTAGTTTAACACCTAAACTATTGAAAGTGTGAGTTTCATACCTAAACTATCACTTTTTAGTTTAAAAAACACACCTCAGTGGTGTGTGTAATACACACTCTCTTTTATTTGAAAAAAACCTTGACACATGACATTCCAGATAGATAAAATATTTTACCTAGATAAAAATTATAATAAAAAAATAATATTAATTAAAAATTAAGGATTAAAGTATTATTATCCATATAAAAAATTAAATTAATTTTCTTACCCCACTCCACCACCTCCTCCACGTACACCCCCGACAACCCCATCCTTTTTTTTTAAAAATAATTTATAAAATATTTTAAAAAATTCATACTTCATCCTCCCCCCCGCCCCCGCCCCCCAAATAAAAAGAAAAAAAAAACCCCATCCACCCACTCATCCCCCGATAGAAATTGATATTATTTTTTTTTAAAATAAAAAATTTGGCCCATACTATTTAATTCTCCGCTCCTAATTTTTATCTTTTTACCTTTTTATCATTTTGTGTTATATATGCACATACATATATTTTTAGAAAAAATTTTTCTACTAGTGTACCGAATATCTTTAATAACTAAAATAATAAAAAAAGTCGATATGTATATCTAAATACTAATAAAAATTTGGAAGCGGAGGGTTAAGTGGGATGAGTAGAATTATTATTTTAAGAAAATAAAAATAATATCTAAATTAGTATTTGAGGAGGGGAAGAAGATGAAGTAAAAAAAAAAGAAATACTTTTACAAAAGAAATTTAAACAAAATAAAAAAACTTAAAAAAATGGTGGTGGTGGTGGTGGGGGTGGGATGTGAGAGGAAGTGATGGCATGGGATATGAAAAATATTTTACATTTTATTTTATAAAGAAAATATTGTTTTTTATAATAGTTTTTTAATTTTAACTAATACTAACGGTTGATTTAATTTTTGTCTAGGTTGAATGTTTTGTCCACGTGGAGTGTGATGTGAAAATTCTTTAAAATAAGGAGAGAGTGTGTTACACATACCATGATGAGAGTGGTATAAAAGAGAGAAGTGTGTTTCTCAAACTAAAAAGTGATAGTTTATGTATGAAACTAAAAAAAAAGTATAATTTAGGTGTGTTTTTGACACTTAACCATAATGAGACCCATTACACAAAAGAAAATTGAGATTAAAGTAAATCAAATCACTTAAAATGATTAATAATAAAAAAGAATAGAGTTATGATCACTTTCAATCTTAATCTCACCTTCTCTATTACACGTAAGAGATCTTAGTATTATGATTAAATATCTCAACCTTAAACTCAGGACGGAGCAAATTTTGTTATTTGTGTATTATTGACACCATTCTATCCTACATCATTCAAGTTGATTAACAATACTTTTTTTTTCTCCAATCTCAAAATAAACTCATGAAGTAAAATCATAAGAAATTTTACGCCTTGAGAAACCTGGTTCTTTAATCAATCTACTTTCTTATATTGTTACCGGATAATTCTAATTAATTGCCAATGATGTAACTAAACTATCATTAATAATGACATCACAAGAAACATAAATAATCCAAGTCATATATACCCTTTATAATATGAATGCAATTGAAATAAAGATAATAGAATAATAAATCAAATTGAGGTAATGAATAGAAATAAAAATAGAGTAGTGTGTATTGATTCGGGTGATAAAGATCTATGAAGACTGTGATGAATAATAAGTTTGATAGAAGAAATTATGAGATCATGTGTATTTAGGTAAATTCATGTAGTTATTGTATTGGTCAGAATACCATAGGTACAAAATTTGCCTCAAACAATATAACAAGTTTGGGAAAAACTTGTGAGTTCTTGTTCTTACTCCTTTAAAAGTCAAACAACGTGCCTACTCCAAAGTGATGTAAGACACGTATTGTAACACTCCGAAAGTCTATGACCTTAAATAGAGCCTAATATGTTGATCTAAGGTTATTAACACTATCATAAGGCCTAAAATAATGTTAATAAACCATTTAGGAAGTTTTGGAGTCATGATATCAAGAAATGTCCATGACATCCGGAATCTAGTCTAATTTAACTAGTGGAACATCCTTAGCTTTTGGGAAGGTTTAGAGGTGTCATATGAGGTTCAAAACTTGTAAAACGACTTTCAATAGGTAAAACATAGTATATAGAATGAATACATCCAGGTCTGACCCCCAAGGGTCGCCTTAGGGGTCCACGAAAGGACCCCAAACTTGGCTTGGCAAGCTGCCTAGGCAGCAGCCAAAATACACATAGAGGGAGTGAGTCTGCATCGCACACTTGGGTGGATTTCGGTCAAATCTCAATTTCACGCGGCGGGCTGGTAGAGGACTTCACTTTCTTGAAAAATAAATTATAAAATCATGCGGGAACAACTCTACATTGCGGACTTGTTCCTCGATGAAAATCTGAAATTTGAATTTGAAGTTGGACTTCATTAAAGGGTCAACTTAAGTGAGGGGTAATTTGAGTATTTCATGGTGGGGTATATATATTGATTTCCGATCAGTTTTCTTCACATTTACAGACTCGAATTAAATCCTCAAATCAAAAACCAAAATTTTTCACCTCTCTCTACTTTCTCTCTCTATTCATCCTCCATAAAAGGAAGAAGAGAACTTGAAGAAGAACATCAATTTTCTCTAGGATTTCACTTCAATTTCATGGATTAATCTTCATTAAGGTATGAGTTCTTCACTCTTTTTACCAAGAGGTCCTTTCAAAGTTGATTTCTAAATTATCCAATTCGAAGGATTTTTCTATTCTAGTGGGTTTTCTTCGAAACTTCAAATTGATGATTGATCTTGATTTATTGTGATTACTTATGACTAATTAGGTAAATATTGATGGTTAATTGGTGCTAATTGATTGAATTTAATGTTGATTATGTTCCTTTCCCTAATTCCCCAAATCTTGGGTCTTGACTGTAAATTGATGGGAATTGAAGTATGAATTGATTATTAGACTTGTTTTATCTATTCTAATTCATTCATAGACTGCCTAGGGTAGTTTATTTGGAATTGAATCTAATTATTGAAGAATTTATCATGAACCCTATTTTTCTTAACCCTAGGTTATGAATTAATGTTAATAGTATAGTAATGATGCAATTGACCTAGTTCTTGCGTTAGTTACTATTGATTGATGTTACTAAACCTATTGTTGGATGTAATTGGTTGGTTGATGGTAAGACCGTGATGATGTCTATTAAAGGAGATTGAGTAAGTCTTACTGATCCTAACCTTTACTTCAATTATGATGACCTGTGATTGATGATGTAGTTCAATTGAAGCAGGTCGTGAGATTAGCCTAAGTAGGTGTTGGTATGATGATAAATTGAAATGTCTGTACTATGTTGTTGTGAGATTATGTTTAAGAAGAAATTATATAATGTTGGTTATAAAGTACATATGTGCCTTTTTATGATATGATGATGATGTTATGCAAATCTCACATGTGTGAATTATAATGAAAGGACAACACTCATACAATTCCTATTGATCTATGATGATGATTATGCATGGTATATACCCTATGACCTAATATAAGCTATGATAATTAATAAAGGTATTAAAGACATTTCAAAAGGGACTCTAGCTTAGCACCGAGTGCACTTGTAGGTGAGGGATGATGGTAGGTTCACTAAGGTTCTCAAGGGGTGGATAGCCTCATAGTCCGAAAACAGCATAGAGTGATGTTTCCATGAGACCCCCAAATATCCATAAACTATGTTTCCACCATAGGAATACTAGCTAGTGGATCCACCTAGATGCTATGTTCATGTTTGGTTCTACTTTGGCCGGCAGACCACCTTCTATCGGTGTTAAGTTTTACAACACCAGATTCCACACTTAGCACTTGTGGTCTATGTCGGTTAAGGCAAGTGTTCTCAAAAGTAAATGAATTAATGGACTATACACTAACTAGGGTGACTTGAGAGGTTTGACTTAGCCTAGATAGAGGTATGTGACTCTACCTATGCCTTGTACTAGTTTTCCTTGAGGGAATCCTTAGGAGGTTGTTCTTGTGTTATTATAATGTATATGCTATGAATATGATGACTTTACATGTTGATGATCCTATATGTTGTTAGTTTCATTTATGAACATGCTATTGGTCTACATTGCTAAATGTGATGATGATTACTCTTGATGTTATGTTATGTGAAATTAGACTTTAGTTTTGATCCTTTATTTGGTTTACTTGATTAAGTAGGGTTATGGGGCTTTACTTGGTCATTGCACTTGATGGTTAAATGATGGGTTGTTGGTAAGGGTCTTGATTATGTTATGATATTATGAACTCTTCTATTTATTGACTTATCTAATATTTGATGATGTTGATTTTGTGTGGTACATGACCTTTACTTAAGACTTATGTGTTAATTGGTTTATATGGGTTCTCGGATGTGCATAAGACTTTTGAAAGTAAATTAGCATGTTTTGAAGAAGTTCCCTCTTTAACATGATTTTACTTGTTTATGTGATGACACTCATACTTAGTACAAGTGTCTAAAACCCCCATGTTTATGTTTACTACAAATTGTAGGGTCTGGCTGTTAAACTTAGTTGAAGGCCATTGAAGACTACTTGGACATTTCCCAAGTGTTTCGGTAGGTCCTCCTTTTTCGAGGATAATGCCATTATCAAGCCACTAATTGTTGTTTTAGTTTTAAGACTTCTATGTTCTTTCCTTTTCATTGGAGACTTTTGTTGTAATAGCCTATATGTGGATTCTATCATTGATGTATGGGCTATGCCCAAGTGTTATACTCTTGTTTAGATGGTTATGATATGAGACATCCATTTTAAGACTATATATATATATGTGTGTGTGTGTGTGTGTGTGTGTTTGTGTGTATGTGTGTGTGTTTGTTTATGTGTGTGTGCGCCCGCGCAATAAAAGTAGAAGACTATGTAATCTTCCTATTCGAAGGGTCTATGAATACTTGATAT